AACCTCATTGAAGGTTGCTTCATGTGCTTGTGACCACTGCCACACTGCCTGTTTGTCCAAAAGCCTATGAAGTGGTTCAGCTATATTAGCTTTGTTAGGAATGAATGCATTATAGAAGTTCAAGAGGCCCAGAAAAGCTTGTAGTTCAGCTTTGGACTTAGGCCTAGGAGCTTGCATAATAGCGTTTAATTTGGACTCAGCAGGATAAATGCCATTGGCATCTATTTTGAATCCCAGGAAATCTGTAGAAGGCACCCCAATTTTACATTTGTCTTTTTTAAGCTTGAAGCCTGTTTTCCAGAACCGCAGCAGGACAGCCCTCAATCTCTCAGCTAAATTTTGAGTGGAGTCTCCAGCTATTAAGACATCATCAAAATAGGGGCAAACCCCTGGTATACCCCTCAAGGTATTTTCCATTACACTTTGGAAAATTCCAGGTGCCACATTTACTCCAAATTGTAGTCTTTTGACTTTGAATGCCTCCCCTGTGTGTTACAATGGTTTGTGCTATAGCAGCAACTTCATCAACAGGTAACTGTTGATAAGCCTGTGCTAAATCTAGCTTTGCAAAAACACACCCCCCCCCTTGAGGGAGGCCAGAATATGACTGACTACAGGTACAGGATATGCATGTTATTGCAATGCCTTGTTTAGAGTGCATTTGTAATCTGCACAGATGTGAATGTCCCCATTAGCCTTAAGACGCGTGACTATGGGAGTTTCCCAAGGACTTGAGTCAACAGGTTCTAAGACACCTTGCTTAATCAATTTGTCCAATTCAGCATCAATTTTTCCTTTTAAAGCAAAAGGTACTGTCCTTACTTTTACTCTGATAAGAGTGACAGTGGGGTCCAGCTTTAAGAAAACTGGGGTCCCTTTGTATGTACCCAGCTGAGGGCTGAAAACATCTGCAAATTCTTTGCAGATTTCTTGTAGACCTAATGTTTGCAAACTATTAAGCCCTGTAACGTATTCCCAAAACCTCAAACCAATCGAGTCCTATGAAACTCATGCACTCACCCCCAACTACCAATACATCTAATGGACCTTCAAAATCCTTGTATTGTACATTAAGGGTGGCCTCCCCCTTAACACACACCTTGGAGTTTTGAAAGTCTGTTAGAACTATATTGGATGGCCTAATCTTGGCCCGGAATCCACTGCTAGAGCAAATCTTTCTGAATGTGTGAATGGAAATAATTGAAAGTGCAGACCCAGTGTCTAGTTCCATAACCAATGGAACTCCTTGCAACTTCACCTTAAGTGACAGTTTCTTTTTGAGTGGCTTGTGTGTGCCTGTCCTATAAATGCTTCTTTGTGATGCACAGAAACCCACCCTGTTTTGGCTGGGGAAAAGGCGCAATTCTTCTCATGGTTGTAACTTCTGACAGCCCAGACACACAGCTGCTATGTGGCCTTGCTTTCCACATGCTCTACAGATTGCAGAACGGAACCTGCAGTCGGTCCTCTTGTGGCGACCTCCACACCCGAAGCACTTGGGTACAGCTGAAGACTTTTCTTTGCCTTCCTTCTGCTTCCTTTCTTTGGCTGGGTAGAGATGATCCACCTCATCTTCAGGATCCTCTTCCGAGCTCTCCTGGACTCCCTCATGGTGCACGGAAACAGCTTCTGGAGTGCTCCTGATAGGCCTCATGTTCTTGACTGCCCCACCTGCTGCCTCTTCTGCAGTAACCTCTCTCAAGGCATCTTGGAACAATATGTCTTCTTTTGCAAAAAGTCTCTGCTGCAAGTCTCTGTTCCTAAGCTTACATACAAATCTGTCTCTCAACCTTTCTTCTAAGTTTTTAAACTCACAAGGCTTAGCTGCTCTTCTCAAAGCTGCAATGTATTCTTTAGCTGATTCACCAGCTCGTTGATCCCTCTGTTCAAAAGTATGTCTCCATGCAATAACAGACAACTTGGGCTGAAAATGTTCTTTTAGTAATTTTTTAAAATCTGTGTAGGTGACAGATTCAAGAGGTGCAGGGGCTGCTAAATTTTCAGCAATTTCAAATGCATCTTGACCACAGACACACAGCAAAGTAGCGGCCTTTAAGCCATCTCTTCTTACTTGGTTTACTCTAAAATAGTTTTCTACTCTGGCCACATAAGACTCCCATCTTTCTGGGTGTGTGACATCAAATTCAGACAGTCTCCCTATCTTCGCCATTTTCTCCTTTGTAAGGAAAGGGTCTATCAGCCAGCTTACCTCCAGCGATGCTGTACTGACAGGCAGGTGCTGAATTTAATGCCATCTTCCTAGCTGCTCTCAGGACTCCTGGGTAAGCTTACAATTCTTCTTAGTTAATTGTAAGGCATCCCACCTTCGTCGCCAGTGTTGAGTCCTCGGCTTAATGGCGAATGAGCACAGAACATCTCGTAGTGTCAAGAAGTCTTTATTGTGGTTTCTTCTGCTCCGTTACAACTCTGAGGCTCGCAGGCCTCTCTGCTTCCCTTAATAACGTTCCTCGGACAGAATGGCAACAATTAGGCGCGCTCCGTACCTCGCACATGCGCACGAAGATGGCACCAGGTTGCAACTGCCCGGGACCATTGCAACATCCCGAGCCTGCCTTTGCAGGCTCAGGACACAACAGAAACCAAGATCATATCAATCTAATTTAGTAGAATACTATATACTGTATTCCAATCACTAGAAGTTTTTTTTTCCTTCCTTCCTTCCTTCCTTCCTTCCTTCCTTCCTCCCTTCCTCTCTCCCACCCACCCACCCATCCATCCATCCATCCATCCATCCAATTTATATGGCTACCCATCAAAGAAAATCTGGACAACGAACAAAATAAAAGCATTATTCATTAAGATGGCTTATCTAAAAGGAGATGTAACAATGACCTTGCTGTTTTGCAGCAAGCACGCCCTTTGTCTCTGATATTTAGGAACAGGAAGTCATTTGCAAATGGCTGAAGGGAAAATAGCCTTGCAAGAGACAGAATTGAACTCATTACTGTATTGAATTTGCTGCAAGGGCATCAGCATAGGGCAACTATAACTGTCTGCCCAGAAGTAAGTCAGACTAAGTTCAGTAGAGCTGACTCCCTGACACGTATGCAGGTTTATAGTTTTAACCTAATTCTCTATGAATAGGAAGCCACAAACATTTCTAGTCAAAAGTTAATAAATATAATATTTTTGAGAAATTGGACAGTTTCAAAATGGTGCGTTTCTTCCTCCTAATAGCTATAAGAACGTTAATACATGTCACTTAAATGATGCTTGGAATCTCCAAAGCATTACAAAAGTATCAGCTATTTTAACCCCAGCAGTCTCCTAAAAGGCCAGTAAGTAAGTACAACGTGCTGTTCTGAAGTGTGTTTTCTGACTTTTCTCCTTTTCCCTTCCTAAGTGTGCAGTTAAAGTTACAAACAAGGTGAATAATACATCTATGTGGTAACCATGGTAATCAGCTGTATTAACAATTTTAAATGACAGTGTATCTGCCAGGACTTCACAAAAGAAGACAAACCCTTGAATAAGAGTTGATGATTTTTCCTTTTCTGCCTAATTGCAGACCCAATTTTTGGAGGCAAATCCCATTGAAGTAATAGAAGTTGATGTCACATAAGTATTTTTTGGGATACACTGTTAGATACACTCAGGGAGGCTTCAGTGGCTTTCATTTGGAATTAAATGGCCTGGCTGTGGAAAACAAATCTAAAATTTCAAAGCTACCTAACTTTCTTTTTCTACTTTTATCTTGGAACACACTTTGTTTGCCTTAAGAATGGATATAGCATTGGATCTCTCTCTCTCTCTCTCTCTCTCTCTCTCTCTGTGTGTGTGTGTGTGTGTGTGTGTGTGTGTGTACTCAAAAGATTTGGGAGAACAGCACCTTCTAACTCAGTGTTTCTCAACCTTGACAATTTTAAGGCATGTGGACTTCAACTCCCAGAATTGGACTGCAAGGCATTCAAGGAATTCTGGGAGTTGAAGTCCACATGCCTTAAAATTGTCAAGGTTGAGAAACACTGTAAAATTTAACTCCTTCTTCCCCAACTTGGCTTCCAGGTGCATTGCGACTAGAACTTACAATCAACACAGCCAAGAATTCTGGAGGGCAGCTAATTGATAAATAGCACTCAACTTATAAACATACTGGAGAATAAAGCTGTCATGAAAGGTCAGAATCACTTTGTTTTTGTAGTACAATAGGATGATCTTTGGGGTAAGAAGTCACCCCTGCTCCGAGTCAATATTTTGGTGAAAGAAGTCTAAATGAAATCTGAATTATATAGAAAATGCCAATAGATTTTCACGGGCTACAAGATTTCCCTGTTCCGATGTGCAGACTACAACTCTACTATATAATTTTATGGAGCAAACAGTTCAAGACTATGTAGGATCCCAATTAGAATTCTGTAATGACATAATCTCCAGCTTGCATGATATGTGGAAATACTTCATTCTCCACTTAGATTTAATGGCCTCTTTTAACTTTTGGTGAAGTGTCAAGTCTAATAATTTCTATACAGGCCTAAAGTCAATATGTCATAAAGAAAAACTCTTTAGGCTAATAAAACTCATGGATATTGGATACTGAAGGTCTTCCTGATGGTCAGAATGCCCTTGAGTACAATTTTATTTAGAGAGCATACTAAAAAGCAGAGACATCACCCTGCCAACAAAAGTGCGTATAGTCCAGGCCATGGTTTTCCCAGTTGCAATGTATGGCTATGAAAGTTGGACCATAAGAAAGGCTGAGCGCCAAAGAATTGAGGCCTTTGTACTATGGTGCTGGAGAAGACTCTGCGAGTCCCTTGGACTGCAAGGCATTCAAACCAGTCAGTCCTAGAAGAGATCAACCCCGACTGCTCTTTAGAAGGCCAGATCCTGAAGTTGAAACTCAAATACTTTGGCCACCTAATGAGAAGGAAGGACTCACTGGAGAAGGGCCTAATGCTGGGAAAGATTGAGTGCAATAGAAGAAGGGGACGACAGAGAATGAGATGGCTGGATGGAGTCACTGAAGCAGTAGGTGTGAACTTAAATGGACTCCAGAAGATGGTAGAGGACAGGAAGACCTGGAGGAACGTTGTCCATGGGGTCACGATGGGTCGGATACGACTTCGCAATTAACAACAACAACAATTTTATTGCAGAGGGCTTCCTTTGATAAGGGATAATTTTACCAATGTCTCCTTTCCTTACATTCTCCAGAGGCCTTTTCCAGATATTTGCAGATCCTGTAGAAGAGAGTTAAAAGGAGAAAATGGTATAGGTTAACATTTATTTGTTTGTTTGTATCCCACCTCTATTATTTTTACAAATAACTCAAGGCAGCGAACATACAGTACATAATATTCCTTTCTTTTTTTATTCCCCCCCCCCAACAACAATCCTGTGAGATTGGCCCATAGTCACCCAACTGCCTTTCATGGTTAAGGTGGGACTTGAACTCACAGTCTGTGCCTTAACCACTAGACCAACTGGCTAAACATTACCTTCCCCTTCTTTCCAGGTAGAATCCACTTCTCTAACCGAAGAAAGATGGTCTATACTATACCTATCAAAAAGTTAGATGACCCTGAATCTGAATTAAGAACAGATAGAGAAAAAAGAAAAGAAAAATCATGTACAATAAGTGTGTGTGTTATATGCCTATGTTGGTATGAAAGTGAGAGAGATTTGTAGATTCGTAGGAATGAGGAAATTGGTACCCATAAGCATTACTGTATCCACTGAGTTCCCCTTTGTATTCATTAGACTCCATGGACCCCTTCTGATTATTGCTATTGCTTGCAGACAATTGAAAATAAAAATGGTAGGTGACTGGAACTGTTTGAAATAATGGCCATTTGCCCAGAAGAATCCCTAAGCTAAGAGAGACAGTTTGGTGTATAATTAAGACACCAAGCCAGAAACCAGGAGACAGGGAATTCTAGTCCCGCCTTAGGCATGAAAGGCAGATGGTTGGCTTTTGGCCATTCACTCTTTCTCAGCCCAACTCACCTGACAGGATTGATGTTGAGGGCAAAAAAATAGGAGGAGGAAGTATTACTTACTCTATGTTCACTGTCTTGAGATATTTATAAAAATAATAAGGATGGAATTAAAAAAAAGGCTAAGCTAAACAGCAGAGAACCTCTTGGTAGGCCATAGGAAGTGGCAGGAAATTACTTCACCAGACTTCCTCTTATTAAAAGAGGCCTACCTTCCCATCAGCAGCCATTTTATAAGAGTATCTACAACATTCCTCAGAACGATAAAAGCTACAAAAAGGTTTCTTCTTTCTGGCTATTGAGAAGAAATCAAAAAGGAAAAACAGGATTCTATCTCGACCTCTTAGCTATCTGCCATTCAAAACCATTATCACTCAGTTCTTATTATGTATTGCATTACACTGTGCACTAAATGAGTATGGTACTTTGATTTTTTTTTATTAAAGGCTGATAATAACAGAAATAACCATGCTGAATCCATCACAATACAGCAGCAAATATGTCCCATTAGCCATTCAGCCCATTAAGATGATTTTTCCTTTGCTAAAGGTTTAACCTTTTTCTGCCTATGGAATGAATTAACCAATTTGGGGCAGTTGTCTCTGGACCAATGCAAGGAGGAGACTCCAACCTTGGCTCAATGTGACATTGTATGATATTGTCAAGCACCCCCTCTTCCTGAATCTAAAATGACTTTCTTTCTTTGAGGGGGGGCTCACTCTTTTTTCTTACCAATTTGGCACCCAAGCCCCCAGACAGCCTATTACAAGGAATGAAAAGGATTAGCTTTTTTTGGCAGGATCTCACGGCATGAGAAGCAGGGGAAGGAGGAAAATACTTGTTTTAGATGTAGTCTCATTTTTTTTGTTTACATTATTAGAGTGGACATTTAAGATAGATCATCAATACCAAATGGCTTCTCACTGTCTAAAATCCTGGAATTCATTTAAAGTGTTTTATAGAATCTGTTTTGTGTCAGGCAACAGTAAAATACGTCTCCCTCTGGTGGCCAACTTTATAAACAGAAGAGGTGACCTTTTGACCTACTGATACATTCCAATTTACAGGAAAAAAGTCAAATTCCAAATAACATCTCTACCCTTCCAGCCTAATACATCACTTTTAATTACATGATTCTCATTTGGTTCAGTGAAAGGCAATTTTTTCCCCCTTCCTTTTAAAACAGACAAGTGCTTCTGGTATTGAGCTGTGGCATTGTATTTTTTACTCTGCTGCTCTTGTCCGTGTTAACTTTGTTTTTATTTTTTGCTGTTGTTCTATTTCTCTAATTGGCCTGGAATGGTCAGAACTTGTCTCTGGATTGCTACTGTGGTTTTAGCTGGAAGTTAGTTAGGATTTCTTATTTATCGTGAATATTATGAAATAGCTTTTATTTTTTCCAACTGTAAAAGCTACTGCTTGTGTATAATGCGAGCAATATGTTGTAGACATTATAAATAATATGTCTCTTAATATAGTCCCACAGATATTCAAAATATAAAATCAGATGCCCTGTTTCTATAGAAAAAACATCCCGCTAATATGACTATTCTCCAATATCCATCCTTCCTTCCTTCCTTCCTTCCTTCCTTCCTTCCTTCCTTCCTTCCTTCCTTCCTTCCATCCTTCCATCCATCCATCCATCCATCCATCCATCCTTGTGACTGAAGTTAGATTTATTATTTTTTGCACATTTCACGATTTAGTCTTTTTACATATAGAAGAGTCTCAGGAATCAAAGGAGAGGTGGGGGAACAGCAATTGCAGTATCAAAAAAAATGAAGAAAAAAAGTTAACTAATACAGCATTCAATAAACTATGAAAAAAACAAAATGGGAAATCTAAGAGGCTGCAAGTAACAATGCCTTCATTTAGCAAACTTCTGAATTCAAAAATGCAAATAGATGTAATTATTCATCAGGAGGAGGAGGAGGAGAAAGCTAATGGGAGACTACAGGAATGGAAATTGACTTAAGATTATTGTGACAAAGAGTAAGAAAAGAGAGGAAGAGATGTAGATCAGAGGTTTTACATTTTACTCTAATGGCCTGCGGAATTCTCAAGATGAGCTGGGCTTCAACTCATACAATTTCCAGCTGATACAGAAGCTACCAGGACAGAGAAGACTGCCTAATAGGATAAACTTTCCACATAGTATTACTGAGCCACAGCATGGATAAGCATAATGTTAGTTTTCATTTTAGACCTGGGCACAAACTCCTGCCTGCCTGTGTTTAGCAACTTTGCCTTTTATTAAATTTAATCATTTCCCCCTGTGGCTTAAAATTGAGGGCATTTCCTGTTTAAATTCAATTACTTTCCCATTTAGATTGAATACTGATAATACTAATAATAATATTTTAACTTTGCATAACTGTAACCTGATAAGCGTGAATAGGAATCGTATGGCAGTGAAACAGAGTGGCTTCTAAAAATGATATATGAATTTATTAATAAAAAGAAAAGATTTTATTGCAGCTTTTATGAAAATTTAAGCTGTTCCTATTAAAAATGAAGGGAAGGGAAGTAAGGGGACATTCTCTTCCTTTGGAAATCAATTATATTTACTTAATTGCACGATATATAAAATCTGTATATTGTTGCTCTGAGTTTATTCTGTGGGTCCCTATTAACAAGATTATGTCCCATTTCAATTCAAATTAAAAGCTATCAAATATTTCTGGGTAAAGAGGAAAATAAAAGATGTATTTTGTAAGTTGAGGGCCATGATTCATATTCAATGTTCTCCATCCCACTTTGGTTAAGAATCAGAACAGTTGTTTCTTTCCTCTACTTTTTTTTGGGGGGGGGTTGGGCCAACTAATCAAATATTAATTCCATAACAACTACATTTGCTTCTATTCTCATAAATGCATTTATGATACTCTTTCCTCCTTTTGTGTCTGGGGAAATGATTTGAGTAACTATCAGAAATGGATAATTGATACCTGATAATTGATACAATTGAGCTCAAAATTTCTGTTGCTAAGTGAGACATTTGTCACTTGAGTTTTGTCCCATTTTATGACTTTTCTTGACACAGTTGTTAAGTGAATCACTGCAGTTGCCAAATTAGTGATAGGGTTGTTAAGTGAATCTGGCTTTCCCATTGATTCTGCTTGTCAAAAGGTCATAAAATGTGATCACGTGACCCCAGGGATACTGCAGCCATCATAAATATGAACCGGTTGCCAAATGTCCTAATTTTGATCACCTGTCAATAGGGATGCTGCAACGGTTGTTAAGTGTGAAAAATGAAGCATTGTAAGTTGAGGCCTTTGAACTATGGTGCTGGAGAAGACTCCTGCGAGTCCCTTGGACTACAAGGCGTTCAAACCGGTCAGTGCTAGAAGAGATCAACCCTGGCTGCTCTTTAGAAGACCAGATCCTGAAGTTGAAACTCAGATACTTTGGCCACCTAATGAGAAAGAAGAACTCACTGGAGAAGAGCCTAATGCTGGGAAAGATTGAGGGCAATAGAAGAATGGGACAACAGAGAATGAGATGGCTGGATGGAGTCACTGAAGCAGTAGGTGTGAACTTAAATGGACTCCAGAAGATGGTAGAGGACAGGAAGACCTGGAGGAACGTTGTCCATGGGGTCGCGATGGGTCGGACACGACTTTGCAATTAACAACAACAACAAAGTTGAGGCCTACCTGTATTTTGAACAAATCAAACACAAAGGGAATCAGGACTGACAAGTGGACCTTGAAACATACAACATCCAAGAGCTCAAGTAGAAATTGTCAATCGCAATTTTTTTTTCTGAGAAAAAAAGTCTCTGTATATTCCTCTCTGTCTGGGCCAAACTAATTGCCAACCTGATCAGGAAAGTCAGGGAAGTTCTTCAGTGATAAATTAAAATAACACAGAATCTGATAAGGCGGCCTCAGTCAGAGGTCAGCAATTCTGACAGTGGTCACCATGTTTGCCACAAAGTCAATAGATCTTGTATATCTTTAAATGTTCACAGTCCAGACAAGCAATTAAGAGCTTAACTTAAACATTTGAGTCTTGGTTTATTCTAGGTTGTGAATGAGCTACACATTTGCACAGATCATAGTTTCCCACACACGAAGAAAACCTTGTTCGTGGTTAGTCACCACCCTTGCCCAGATAGGGCTTTGAGGGTTGGGGAATGTTAATATAATTTTCTGGCTCAAAAAAACCAGCAGAATGTAGATAGCACAATGCTTAACATACCAATAAATACTGTATGTTTGTAGGTACATTGAACATTACATGCAGCAAAACATGCTTTTGCTCTCCTGTGGGAGTGGAAGAATGTCGTAGGAAGGATGTCATTCTAATAAGCTCCATTGTTTAGAATCCTGAAAAAGAAATTCTGTTTCAAAATATTATTAAATAATGTAAGTCGAAAGCTATGATTTTAGTTGTAGCTAAGAACTATGATTAGGAGGTCATAGATACAGTATTTAGATTTAGATTTAGATTTAGATTCTAAAATATATGAAAAATGATTGCAGGAACTGCGTATGTCTAATCTAGTGAAGAGAAGGACGAGGGGGGACATGATATCAATGTTCCAATATCTCGGGGGCTGCCACAAAGAAGAGGGAATCAAGCTATTCTCCAAAGCGACTGAGGGCAGGACAAGAAGCAACGGATGGAAACTAATCAAGGAGAGAAGCAACCTAGAACTAAGGAGAAACTTCCTGACAGTCAGAACAATTAACCAGTGAAACAAATTGCCTTTAAAAATTGTGGGTTCCCCAATACTGGAGGCTTTTAAGAAGAGACTGGACAGTGTTCTACCAGAAATAGTATAGGTCTCCTGCGAGAACAGATGTTTGGACTAGATGACCTCCAAGTTCCCTTCCAACTCTATTACTATTACAACCTGTTATAACTGTTTAACCCATGGGGAAATAATATCTCCATTAAGAAAACTGGGTGAATCTGTTTGCTTAAATGTTTAGAGAACTGCAAAATGCTTACAGAAAAAAGCATGCAATGTGTTTGGGATATTTAAAACCTTTTAGCCGAATTTTCTATTTTAAAAATTCTCTGAATATTTAACAAAACAATATTTGTAACACAACTTCCATTTAAAAAACATAATTTGAAAATTCAGCCTGTACATTAATCCATCAGGAGAATGAAAACTAGTAGAAAGAACAACTAAGTAAAGTCAGTAACTGTCAGAGGAAACCAGGTCTTCAACTTACGCCTAAAAACTGAGAAAGAGCTATAACTAGATGGGCTTTAGGAAGTAAGAACTTTTGCAAAATGGGAATGACCATTAAAAGGGCTCACTTACCTTTGGAATAGTAGATCTCTGCAAGCAGATCCGGATCTAGGGAGGAGAGGAGGCTTGGAGGAAAGCTCTCTAGCTGCTTTTCAAGTTAGGCAGATGCTATAAAAGGAAGTTTACAGTAAGTAAACAGCTGATATCTTAGTATGTGGCCATCATTGAAACAGCTACTATTATTATGTGTACCCTTCAAGCCATGTACATGGCGGAGATTTCTTTTATCATGATGTCAACCAAGTGTTACGAACAGACAGATCAGCTCTTCTCTGAGTTGCCTCTAAGTTGCTTCTTGCTTTCTTAATTAGTAGTTTGCTTTGTTCTTTTTTTAAAACGAAAGGGCTAATTATGACTCTTTGCCACCAGAAGTTCAGAGGATTTCTGTAGATTCATCTGATTTCCTCTTTTCAGTATTAGAACCCAACCAATTTGACACAGATCTCTTCCAAACTACAGGTAATCCAGGACCTGCGACTACTTAGCAATGGCTTGAAATTACAAGACTCCCAAAAAAAGGTATTTATAATTTAGATTCCAAGTTCTGATATTTATCACCATCACGCATGGTCATGGGACCACATTTTGGGCACTTGGCAACCGGCCCACATTTGCAGCACCCATGGTCAGGTGACCACAGTTTAGGGCATTTTTACTGAACACCAGTGCTGTTTCTGTTTTCTGGCAATAACAACAACAACACACCCCATAGTGAACAGTGGGCTCACTTAACAACCACAGTGTTGCTTAATGACTGTGGAATGTGCTTAACAACCTCTGCGAAAAAGGTAATAAAATCAGGCATGGTGACATAGTGACCTGCTTAATGACTATCATGACTTATAACTAAAATGGTTGTAAGTTGAGGACTACCTGCACATAATGTTTCAATCTAGTCCATTCCTTTCCTTACTGCCATGAGGCAATCAGTACCACGTGCAGTTGAGCAATAGGACATACAAAAAAAAATGACATCCATACAGTTTCCTCCTATCAGTGAACAGTGACATTTAGTTTTTAAAACATTTGAGCATTCAGAGTAAGGAAAACTGCAAAACTGTGAAGACATGGTGCCACTGAAGTTGTGTTCTTTTGCTTGGTAGAGAAATGATAACATAAAACAACAGCAGCTTAACATCTATGGAGATTGGGAGGAGGCAGAATTAGGCAACAATTCTGACCGAAGCAAAACAACCCAAGAGAGGGTCCAATGTGTGTACTGGAAAATTGGCTGCTATGGCTGTCCCATTAAACCATAATAAATCTCAAAATAAATCAGCTCAGCTGCCAAACATGGGATCATATGGGTGTGAAGTTGATCTATTTTTCCCATATTTGAATTAAAATTCTTCAATAACAATAACAGAGTGAAATCTGCAGGACATTGGGTTTGCGAAAACTGAGCTAGTGCATACATACTTGGATCATTTCCTGAACTAAAGCATTAGAGCAGCGGTGTCAAACTCGCAATGTCATGTGACATGTCATGATGTATTGCAACTTTTTTTCCATTGCTGCAATGGAAAATTAGAGCAGATATAAGAGGTACAGCCACTAGGTGCTTATATACACTACTTTAAGATGTTTGGATACCTCATCTTTCTACCTGGACATCTTAGATTAGGTCAGAAGAATTGATGATCCTCCAATTAGTTTAAGTTCTGGCCAGCACGGTCAACAAATAAGTAGGGAAGAAATTGTAAGTTAGCACTGCGTTAAGGACTATAAATCCCAACCAGTCCAAATTAGTTGTTCTGATTGATCCCAATCAAACTAAATAATGACAACTAAGTTAATAGTTTAGCGAGTTAAAAATAAACAATTACACTCATTTGGGAAAGAAAGTTCGGTCAATAAATAATCATCTTGTGAAGCCAAAAAAGCTTTTCAAGATTGCAGGTGGTAACCATCTGATTGTTTGGTACAAGTCATCTCTAGCAAGTTGAACAGGAGACTGGCAGAGCTTATTCTACAAAGGCAGTATTCTGAAATTCCTGATTGTTGTTGACTATCCTCAAGTTTTCTTTTAGCCAAGCATGATGTCCAAATAGTTGAAATCACTGTGTTTATAATTATTTATAAAGTATATAAATCTTAAAGATATACTGAAACAGATGGAGTTTGGTAACCATCAGTAGGAACCACAATTAACTATACAACTGTACAACTGATCCCACTTCTGCCTTTCATCATGGCATTTATACATTTAAAAAAGCAAAGGGGCAGGATAATGGTTGAGAATTTTGTCAATTTGTGCTAGAACATCTATGCCATTATTACGTTGGGCAAAATATCCAACTGTGCAGATTGGTAGAGTTCTATCTAACGTGGAAGTGGATACAACAAGATGTTGTTGGCAGAGGAACACGCTGCACTGCAAACACAGAGTGCAGGATGCCTGTTGGATGCCTATATTCTTCATTAACAGACACTCAGGCTGGGCTGTCTCCTTCTACCTATCCCCAAGGCCAACTACCATGAACTTTGGGACTATATGTGACAGGAAATCTATGAAAGCATTCTCATAGGCAACATTCTATGACACAAGAACATTATGTTGCAAGCTCCACCGGGGATTAATATGGTCAGACTGGCTGGAGTTGTAACTTGTCTTATCTGAACGATGCCAAGTTAGGAAAGTCTGAGCTGAATAAATCCAGAACTGCAGTAGGACAATCCTATTTTGCACTATGAGTTCTCAGCCACCATCGTATCTCTGATAATGTCCGCCTTTAAAGCATTTAAGGTCTAATGTATGCCATGATCTGCATGGTAGAGAGAAAAAAATACAAATACAGATGAAAATTTTACACCGGATAATTAGCATATTGGCATTTTTATTCCTTTTTGGGGGATGGCTGCCCTTACTATGTCCCTTTGAGCTGGAAGTACTATGTGGCTGCCATAAATAGCAATAGCATTTAGACTTATATACTGCTTCATAGTACTTTACAGCCCTCTCTAAGCAGTTTACAGAGTCATTATATTTCCCCCAATAATCTGGGTCCTCATTTTACTGACCTCGGAAGGCTGGAAGGCTGAGTCAACCTTGAACTGGTCAGGATTGAACTCCTGGCAGTCGATAGAATTAGCCTGCAATACTGCCTTCTGACCACTGTGCCACTCTGCTCTTGTCAAGCTATATTGCAGAGAACACTGTTGCCAAACTGAAGTGGTAATATATGCGTATAAAAGTGGGTTTTCTTTTTTTACAGAAAGAAAACAAGCACACACACCCCCGATGTAATTTGAAACAAAAGATCCTGAATGCGAGGGATTTGCAATCAGAGGTCTAGTAAATCACACAATAAGCTTTTCAGAAGTTGCTAATGCACCAGTGATCAGGGCAAGACTGGTCTCCTTCACAAAGAAAGAGGAGAAAAGAAGCAGCCCTACAGTTCAGGTTATAAAATGAAGCTCTATCTTTTCTTGTCTATGAGCCTTTGATGGGAAGAATAATGTTTTTTGTGTCACTAAGCACAAAATCAAATCAGAAAGGTGACTGACATGTAAGCCCACTTCAGCATTTCTATGTTATGGAAGAATAGGAAAAGGAGTACAGTTCTTATACTGCCGGCTGTATAGTACAGCAGCTAAGAGCTCAGATTCATCTTCTCCCCAAATTTTGCCTCTGGTTCTGCCATCTGTTCACTAGGGAACCTTAGGCTAGATTTTAGTTCTCAGCCTTAGCCAATATACAATCTGGGGAAAATAATACAGATTGATTTTAACATGGCTGTGCTATGGATTGCAGACTAGTATCTGCTAATATGTTAAAAAAAGTTCAGAAGTACCGTGCATGTGCTAGGTGTGAGTTGCTTCATGTCAGATTGACCAACAGAGCATTTTAGCTTTTGTCCTCTACAACATTTCAATTTATAGAGAGGCGTGTAAGATTTTCAGAGTTCCAGATGGCATCGGAGTTTTGCTCTCTTTCCTGCCCTCCTTGTATACAATACCTTCATAACTTACTCTCTCTGGCAGACACTAGTCATTTTTGAAGATATGTTTGTATATGCCTATGAACCACCTGTCCTCCCTCAAATTGTCATTTCTTTTTAAAAAACGCCTTCCTCTATGTTCAGTTTTTTTCTGCAAGATCTTCCCTTGTTGATTAACCTCTTCTTCAGAGTCAACTGCTACACACAAGGAGCTCTTGATTTCCATGCTTCCTAAAAGATCTCTCAGTCTAAGGCTGGGGTTCTGCATCACTGCATGTCAGGGAACATACGTGTCTATCATTTGGAGATGGAGATGGTTGCCCAGCTGTTGCATTTATACTTCTGCGAATGGTAACATCATTTGAATGTGTCTTGCCTTCTACCTGCTTCCCAACAGGAAGTCATATTAACCAATCAGCATGCAGGACACACAACTCCACCCAACGCATAGTTCAGATTTGGGAGGTGTGCACATTGGCCTGTCTGCAACTTACACTTTTTATCCATCAACCCCTTGCAACGTAGGTATGGATTGACGCTTACACACATTTGTGGACAAGTTTAAACCAAGCTTAAGATGTGAAGCCTACCACGATGATCCATCTTGTCTGAAGATCAAGAATTATATCTTCAACCTAATTTATCAGTTTCTTTAAATGGAAATATCAAATCCTCATCCCATCTGTTCAATTTACTTTGTCTTTTTCATCTTCTACTGATTTTTTTTCAATAAAATGAAGCAGAAGCTGCAAGACATTTGAATTATATAAAACAATAGCTGATGTGTATATGCATTTGTACATGTATGTGTCTGTGTGTTTAAAAACAAAGTATAAAATTAAAATTAGCATCAAGCCTCTGGAAGTTTTTGAACCATTTTTACAATGATCACTTCTCTGTTGCTTAGCCTTTCCATCTCACCCTGGATCTCTAATATAATGTGGAGGCAAACTGAAATGCTGCCCTATTTCTTTACTTTTCCGGTGTACATGAATATATTCTCAGACAAGGGACTTGGCTTAGTTTATGTCTTCCTGGTGGTAGAACTTGAGTCTAAGGCAGTGATGGCGGACCTTTTAGAGACCGAGTGCCCAAACCGCAACCCAAAACCCACTTATTTATCGCAAAGTGCCAGGGCCGCATCAGCATTGTGGTGCCCTCGGGGTG